TTATCTAAAAAATACTAATACATTAGGCCTAATCAAAGATTTGATTGTATAAATTTTTTTGTAATGTTCCACTTTGACTAAATATATTCTCTAAGTTTCTTTAATGTGTAGTGAACAAGCTCTTTAAATTTCCTTTTCAATATTGTGTCTTGGCTTGTATAGTTATTTTGGTCAATTGGTATGTGTCTTGAGCCCTAGGTTTGTTTTATAGCTTTGATAATAATATACTAGATGAAATTGTGATAGTAATCCAATATGGTCTTTTTGTCCCCTTTAGTATTTATAATATTGTGTATAACTTTTGTCAAGTCCTTGATGTATATTGGTATTGGTGGTAGTATTGTATCATTTTCTTGTTCAAGTAGGATCAGTGAAAAGACTCCCTCATTTTGGAAGTAAAAAGGTTGGACCTCAAAACCTCCTTTGGATCTTCTTTCTTTTGAATTGAGACTAACAAAACTTTCACAACATTCTTATATTTTAGATAGGATGTTTAAAAAAGGAATACTTACTTGAGAGGTCATTGTTGTTGTCATTGGTTTCTTCTCTTATATCCTTCAATGTTGTCTTCTTGCACTTGTTGCTATTGCCAATTAAGTCCTATTTTATAATATATATGCTGATTCTTTTTAGACATTATTAGGACCTTTCTTCTAACAACCATTATCTCAAAGTTTTTCCATTTCTCTCAATGTACTAGTATTTAACTACACTGAATTCTATTGATGTGGGAATTAAAATTCTTAAAATACTCTAACTTTACTAATTACTTTATTTGTAAAATAATTAGTTGTACCAAAAAATCTAAATCTACAATTCATGTATCTAATCTATCTACAAATAATTGCTTCACAATCTCCTAGAATATTGCAAAGCTTCTCCAACCATAGCAAATTATTGTGCTCTAATAATCCCTCAACAATCATAGAGTTGTGATAAGGAATTAGTACTCCCTTGGGACTTCACATGTTCTACTAGAAACACACACATATGTATATATATATATATATATATATATATACATTAATTAAAGATCAAGACATTGTGCTCAACTATGTGGTTTCCACTCTCTCCATGCTTCCTTCATCAATTTAGATGAAAAATTCTTGCAAATCTATTTCCTAAACTCAAATTTTGATATATTGACCCATACTAAGTATTTGCTTGTGTGTTATTCTTTAAACTTTTACGATTTTGAAATATCAAATTGTGGTATTGGTACCAGCTTTGAAGATTTAAACTTAATTCAACTGAAGATGCAAAGGCTTAAGGGTCAATCATGAAAAAATATCAAAAAGTAACATATATGTGTATATGTACAAACACACACTAAATAAAAATAATCCAAGTTTAATAGATTCTACCGTCCCATCTTATTCTTAACAAGTGGAACTGTTAGAATACTAGCACATAGTAGCCTGTGCGTGGACGAGCGTATGTTTTACCGAGGTCGTCGGGACGAGCATGAGAGAGACTGGCAATGGCACTACTTGTAAGAAGCTCTAATTCACACAAACACAGAACTCGATAGCAGGGGAGTGTTGCGATGTGGCGGGTGGGCCCCCGCCACAGCCTGATGCTATTGCGGAAGCTCACCATCCATGCAGTCACACCTAAGATTCCCCAGAGAGGAAAGCACCGGAAGGCCTTGGAAAATGCGACGCGCAATTCATGACGTGGTGTGGTGGTAGCTCCAGCGACAACATGTCCCCTCGACGATCGGAGTTCGATGACTGACTGACTGAATGACTGCATGAATGAGTGAATGAGTGAATGGTTGAATGAATGAAGTGAGAGAGAGCGAGAGCGGCGTGATCGACTCGAACTCCCCTCCCCACCCTAGAAAGCTGCCGGTTGGTGGGTGTCGTTATACCGGTTACCGATTCTGTGGGTGCGTCCAGGCAGGCTAGGCACATAATTAGCAATCGGTCGGCATGTGTGTGATTCGCACGAGAGGAACTGCTTGTGAGGATGCGTGAAGCTGGCTTGAGGAGGCGGCATGAAGTTGCGAAGCGATCGAGAATAGTGTTAGTGAGGGCGCTGGGTTGAGAGACGAAGAATGGACAGGATTGGTGCTGTGGAGATCACTGGCAGAGTGGTTCGTGAGGGATTGAATGGTTCGGAGGTCTGTGCGAGGGCGTTGGTGTTGTAGTTAGCAGGTTGTGGGAATTTGACTGCAGGATGAGGAGGTTAAAGGGTCTCAGCGCTCGTCGTAGCTTTGATGGTCCTGCCCAAGGCGCTCAATCCTTGCAACTAGGCGGTGTGGATTCTGCTCTAGTTGCAACGTCGTCAAAGAGGTTGACGGACAAGTCCATGACCTGTCGGGTCAATTTAGAGACTGTCGAGGACCATATTCATAGAAATGATCAGGTTACGGGGGCATGTGCGGGGAGTTCGGAATCGCAGCGTCCAGGTAACAAGGAGTGGAAGGGTTCGTTTGAGGGAATCTCTGTTCAGAGTTCCACGGATTCATTTTCTTCAGCTTGCGGCTCTCAAACCTCTTCTCGACCTTCCAGAGCCAGCGCGAACTCTTCCTCCTCTTCGGATATTTATCACCTACCAGAGAGACATCCTGAAGCCAGCGAGCGGACAATTGTAATAGGATTCGACGCAAATGCCCGAGACGCGCTGGTGCTTGCGATGGTGTGGGTGTTCAAAAATGTAGTGAAGAAAGGGGAAACGCTCGTTTTGGTCGGAACGATGGACTTTCTTCGGGGGCCGTTGGGTTACAAGGTTCAGGTGAACGACCAGACGTGGGGCGCCAACAAGAGATTTTTCATAGAGGAGATTGCACGGAAAAAATTGGCGTGGTCTTTGCTCCCAGGGTTAAAAGAATTGTGCGAGGAGAGGGAGATTAAGGTGTCTGTAACCATAAAGGCTACTGCGCGGCGGGAGGTTGCAATAGTGGAAGAAGCTGTTGCGTGTGGGGCGGCACATGTCGTGCTCGACAAGAGCTTAAACAACCGTCGCCGTAAGTTTTACTACGAGCACTTGAGCTGCGACGTGACGCGCATGCGCCGCAGCGGAGGCGTCGATGGTATCAGGTCGAAGGTGTCGCCCCCTTCGCCGACTTCAGTCCTCACCTCCTGGCCTCATGACTTTCGCCAACAAGAGAACAGTGCAGAGCATCGAGACAAGCCAAACCCCGGAATCTCTTCCCATCTAAGCCCATCTGGTCTTGTTGCAAACGTATTGGACAAAGGCACCTCTTCCTTCACAGAAACCGAAAACTCCAATAGGCCTCACCTCAACGACGAGGACGAACTTTTTACCATCGACCACTTCCTGGCTCGACACTCAGTGAATGTGGATTCCGAAGGGCACCACCTCCCGGCTGATCAAACTGGCTACGAGAGCGACGACTTGTTTAGTTTGTGCGGTGACGAGCCGCGATGCGACTCAATCTCAACGTTCCCCCCCTTTGCGCAATCTGTACTCAACGGGGCTGGAGCAGACATCTTTCCTCCGCTCTCCAATCTAGACTCGGGCCCTCCACCCGACAAGCGACTTCCCCCGCTCCCCAAAACAGCTGCAAATGTTTCTAAGGTACAAAATTTTGTCAAGGAAACGATCAGGGGACTGCAATCTGTGGATGGACTGCGAGACATGGTGAACGTTCATCTCTGCGACGTGCTGTTTCCGGGGGAGTCCCTTCTCGTGGGCGCCTCCCCATCGAACCTCTTTCTAATCAACAGCCAGTGCACGACGCGTGACGACTCGGGACTGCTAGTTCCTTACTCCATGACGGCGGGTCCGCCGACCGCCTACGTCGCGGTGCAGGGCGGCGCGGCGTCGAAGCTCTCTGAATTAAGGTCCGGGCATAGTGTGATGGTGATGGACACAAGTGGACGCGCTAGGAGTGTTCCCGTGGGATACACCACGACGCAACCGATCAAGGGTGTGATGCGATTGGAAACGTCTGGTGAGGACCGGGACCGAGTTCACAGCATCCTGGTGCTCCATAAGCAATCTGTGTGCTTCATAAACTTCAGCACAAAGTCCGATGTGTCAGTGGTGGATCTGAAAACCGGCGATGCTATCGCAATGTGTCTGCGAAGCTGATCACAACAATGCAGCGGTGTCGCGCATATTTCGAGGCATTTGTTTGGACGTTTCTCCTGAGTAGTGGCCTGATGCTGCAGAGAGAAAGTGAGAGTGCAGTGGTTTGACCTTTCTTTGAGATGGATAGGTCGAAGAGCGTTGAACTGGGTGCATCGTCGATGCTACTACCCTCGCATAGTCAGAAACTCGAAGGGCTAGAGTCCGTAAGGCAGAGAATGCAGATGGGTTGACAGGGAAAGCAGACGTGTAAATGGAAGAAGGCAGCGTCTAAACAATGGCGGCTATGGTTGAATGAAGGCTCCATCAACTTGCTGAGTAACAGAAAGAAGGAAATCGTGTCCTCGAGATCGACTACCTTCTACTCCTCCGTAAAATTCTTTACCGAACTCGGGATTCAACATATTGGGCAAGTTTCACCAATTCCAGCAGCGAGTGCGCAGAGCTCAGAAATTGGGACTGTTTGCGTATGTTCATCCAACTTTTTCCCTCAAGATCTGCAGCGTTAAGGAATGCTAATATAGTTATGGACTGTTCCATGTAGATAGAGCTGTGAGTTTTAGAGGAATGCAGAGGGGTCCTTAGGGTAACCTGGAGTTGTTACAAGCTAACACCACTGTATTACATCCAGGATATTTTGGCCATTCTAGAATGCCGGTGATTCAAGCTGATATGACCACCTGCTGTAGAGCTTATTTTTGTCTGGTTGTGGATATTATCAATTTTTGGAAGACAATTTTGTCGCTTTTGTTTTAGCGAACAGCGTCTCCGCTAATTCGGTTTTTTCAATCCCTTTGTTAAAAGTGATTAATTGATGACAAAAACTGCAGAATCTTGGTACTTTCTGCACTCTGTCACAAATCAGCCGGGGACTGAAAGCCCATTCACGTGAGGTTGGTATAGCAATTGAGTGATATAGAGCATTTAGGGCATGGAACTTCTGTCTAGGAAGATTTTGGGCCGCTCTGCCGCTATATTTCCAATCATGTAAACACAGTCGTGTTGAGCATTTTTACACCGGCTTGGGCTTGCTGGAGAAACAGAATTTGGAGCAGAAAGTTTCTATTTTCGATTGCATGGCCGGCTCATTCGATCTAGCCGTAGAATGGTTTTAATGCTTATGTGAATGTTCTCTGGGTATAAGTTTTTGGTGTACGAACGTTGCTCCTCACAGCCCTTACACAGGTCTTCAACTCTACATGTGAGTTATCTTACCAGTAGCATTCATGAAGAGAATAATGATCACCAATTTGAAATGCACGAGTCAACAACATACGATTTCCATGAAGCATAGCCGAGCTCCTCAAGATCCTCGTCATCCACATCTTGAACCCAAATTGGTTTTCCTACTACCTCGCTCTTTCGTTTGGAGTAGGTTTCCATGTCCAGACCAGACCAATCCGGTGGGCAGGGGGGGAAGTCTTCCTCCTCGAATATGTCCGGGTCGCTCTCCTGCTCATGGTACCACTGCGTTTCTTCTGCTTTTATGTCGATTGTATTTCTAGACTCAAAATTCAACAGAATCTTAGTAACAGTCAATTTCATACACCCGCAAAGTATTTAACTCGAATGTGATGGTTCATAATGAAAGTTGATTACACGAAGAGGTTGTAAGTGAGCTTACAGATCTGTGCATCCTAGATCGGCTGTAACAAGCTGCTTGGCACAGAAAACAAACCAGAAACCAATCAATCAAGGCTTGGATAATTGTTGCTCTTGAGAAACATTTAAGGATAGAATTAATTTCACCCGATACTTTTAACGTCAAAAATCTTTAAAATTACTGACAAAAATGTCCACCTGATCTTTGATTGTCTTGCCATCTGGAATCTCAATCCTCTCGTCTTTCTTGGCCCAGATAACAACATTCCCCTGAAAGCAAGAACTGGAAAATCAACTCCCGATTCACAGCAAGTTCATTAGAACTCACAATGAACTGGACTTGGATGTTTTTGCAAGACCCAATTACCACAAACGACAAAAGAAAGAAAAAAGAGAATAGTCACACAGGATCACCTGTAGAACGACGTCTTTTCCAAACCAGACATCGCCGATCACCCGTAAACTGCTCAGTCCCAGGAGACTGAGTCTGTTCTTCGTGCGCTCTGTAAAGTACTGCATCTGCAATACAAATACCGAACCTTAGTCATACTTCAAACTCTGGAGAAAAATTTTGAATCCAAAGTTGTGTCGGTTAATAATGATTGATTATCAGTATGGTAATCAATGAAACTGGTTTCCATTTTGTATAGTCAAGATTACCGTGCAGGTGAAGAGGATTTAATTACCTTCCGAAGCTTCATCCCGTCCAACTTAATAGTGGGATTGGTATCAGATCCCCTTACTGGGTTTGAGCAAACAACACCCTCCTTCACGGTGTACAGATCCGACTACACAACAAGAAATGCATATACAAGGGTTAGTTTCCCTTACCGAATCGGTCCTTCTAATCAAGAAGGTGATTAACACCAACTATGAGCAAGCTTTCTTTTTTTTTTTTCTTTTTTTCTTTTTTTTCAAAGAATACTCTTCATGTGTCCCAGGAGTACGATTCTTTCAACTCACCTGGAAAAGAAGTAAGTCTGATGTTGCTCGAATAGGAAGAAACCTTGACCGTGAAACCTCCACAGCAATGCTCCCATCAAAGAACTGCACATACAAGCATAATTCCTCAAACGCATGGAGTTCTGAAATTGCCAACATCTTCCACGAGGCTCAAAAATCTTCAAGTTGTCATGCACCTCTCGTACTACTCAGGCCCAATTACTTTTCTAATTGCAGACACAATCTCAGTCACAAACATTTTGACACTGCATCTCCTGGTTTACCTGAACTAGAAGCAGGTCCGAATTGCCCTCAATCGGTAAATTCTCAAATATCTCCCCATCAACCTGAAGTAGCTCACATCTTGGCAATATAAGTCGTCTGGTTGATGAAAATCTAAAGATGCTGAAAAGTGCAATGAAGTGACTATAATAACTCTTCATTAGGCCAAAAATTAGTGCATCAATATACGAGGGAGAGGGTATCAACTGAGTAGAGTGGAGCCCCGCCTGCAGTTTGCAGTTGAAGTTTAATATCCTCGCCCTCTTCACAACCCTGAAGATTGCAAGTTGCATGAAACCGTTGTTGTAAAAATAAAAATAAAAATAAAAATAACAACAAATGTTCTAGAATCCTATTATATAACAAATTTTTTTAAAGTAAAAATAAATATAAATACAATTTTTTAACATTCTAAATAGTATCCACCTTTGAAGAGCAGTAAATATCAAGAGCTTCAATTTCTGTCAACCTCTTGACAGCCTTCAGATTTACCCAGCTGCCAACATGAAAATAGTATTGATAAAATACAAGGCAAGAAACTATAGCAGTCTTTAAAAAGAATTGTAACTGCAAAAGCACAACACAAAATGTGAGAAAACGGAGTATATCTGCGTGAACTTTATGAAATGCATAGGATAGGTTGAGAGGGAAGTTTTACGTGCTATTCGTGTTGACTACTTTCACATCTCCGGACCGAGTTTTTTCACTCTGTCATATTCACAGTCAATGTATTCATCAAACACTAATGCGCACATCATTAGTTCGTTTTGTGTGAGAAATCATATCTGACTACTGATGAGCGCAAAATATTTACGTTCCCAAACAACTCTTCAACCACAAGGCGTCTTCCTTCTTCACGGCCCTTCGAGAACTTACTTGACTTGGAAAGGCTTCCTCGAACTCCAAGAGCTGCGAGCGTTGAAAAAATTAGACATCGCGCCCACCAAGGTCTTTACGTATGCATGGTTAAGCCAGAAATATGAGATGGTTTTTACATCATGCTCCTGAAGGCCCTAAAAGAGTTAATTTAGAAATTGTGACACGTTCACCTCAATGTTGCCTTCAGATGAGACACGAGCTCCAATTTCGGCATCAGTGTCGTTCTTAGGAGTCACCTGCATTATCATATGCTCGAGACCGAAACCTCATGACCCATAATTCATGGACGTTTAACAGTACTTAAAGATAGCACCCAAAAACCTGGTATACAGGTCATCAATTTGTTGTTAATTTGTTAATTATTGAAAGATGGAGGAACATACCTCCATGCAGTAGTCACACTGGTTTTCAGAGATATAATTCAGCATATCTGAAAATCACGTGAAAGAAAGAAAAAAAAGTCGCTGTGAGTGGACCGAGATTCGAAGCATGAGCAACGGAAACTGAATTCAACGCTCAAAAAGCAGAAAGCACTTGGAACATAAGAATCAGATAGGTGATGAAGGATACTGAGATCCACGGTAGCGCCCAAGTTGTCACAACTTGCGATGAATAGGTATTCTTTTCTCTGCACACCCAAAGAATCATTATTAAAAAATCATATCAGAATGGGTATCTCGGAAAAATAATATTCTTCTGACGGTGTCTACGATCATAACCAGGATTATTCAGCAACATGCACGTGATTTTCAACTTACCTGGGCAAGAAACTCATCGAGCTTTCCACTAAAAGAAAAAGCAGCAAACAAGTCTCCGTTGTTTGTCAAATACCTTCAATACAGTACAAGGTAAAAGCTTAAGGATTAGCCATATCCTCAAGAGAGCTTGCCACTAGAATTATATGGCCAAATTAGGGATTCCGTCTATGCTCCTTTAGCTTCTTTTTTTTTTATTTAGGCACGTCAAGCTAATGCTCTAATTCTAGGACTAGGCTTCTCTCACCCGCCATCTTCGCCGATTTTTGGCGTCACTGGCCAAACTTCCCTCGGATACTCTGTCTGCAACAGAACAGAAGCCTAGTCAAGTTCTGTAGTGCGTTAAAAGCACAACGTTTTAACTAAAGAAGGAAATTTGTTCTTCTAGAATAGTCCTTACACCTCTCCATACTGTACAAGACACATCCTCATTACATTATATCAAAGAGAATGGAATGCCTTTAAAACATATCAAACCCTAAACTCCGGGTTACCTGATTGAAAACCACAATGTCGACATTCGAGGTGCTGTACTTCTTCACTGCCTGTTTAATAGCTCTGTTGGTGTTGTCAGAGGTTCCCAGGACCAATGATACCTTCGAATTGTACTTGGAATTCAGCACCTGCACATCTAGAGCCTCAAAAATGAACCAGGAAGCACACAGTTGACAGTCCATAGTTAATCCATTCATGTCCTGCTAGCACAGGAACCAAGGTAAGGGACGAAGAGTTGCCTCTATTTGTTGCACTGCTAGGTCCACAGCACTTTGTTTACAACAAATTTCCACAAGCGCCCTGCATCAAATGATTTTAACAATTGGTTATTTTGATCTTATTGTGAAGATTGATCGCAATTTACAATGTAATGTTAATTCACTGAAATATAAATAGGTGAATAGATAGGTCGGTTACTTGGGCTGCGTTGTCCCCATAGAGCGTCCAAGTGTACCGCACAACTTGACCACGATGAGCTTGTCCAGCAAAATTTTGCATTTCTCATGGTCTATACAAGGAGTGACGACTCATTATCACAGATGTTCTAAAAACCAAACATAATGCAATCGTAGAGACGCCTGAAGTAGGATTGGCAAGATGGCTCATCAAGGACAGAACCAGTGTGCAATTCTTCACCTCAATAGCACTACCTCGCACCCCGAACGCATCAACATTGGTGACAAAGTTCTCGGCCTTGAAGCAAGAACAACGTACTTTAAACAGGTCTCAACACAGGAGAGAGTTGATTGTATACTACCCTCGAGGATGCGAGGAAGGTTGTCGTAGGGCAGTTTTTTGAGGTCGGTTCGCGGGTTGATCTTGTCCCATGCTATAGGCTCGTTGCTCTTACTGCCACATCCAAGAAGCCCTTCTAAGCATCTCCATCCCGAATTCTTTCTAACTCAAACTCCACATTAGAAGTTGCACCACACTTTATGACCAACCCAAAATCTAAAAATCCCATTCGCAAATTGTCATTGATATCAACAATTCATCAAAAATTGTTTCCGATCACTGAACCCACGACCATGTAACACACAAGCTGCAGCAAATGAAGACAACATTTTGCCAAAACGAGGCTACAGTTTAGTGGGAATCGGGAATGAGGGAAACCTTTGTTGGTGCAAAGCCCATCGCTCCAACTTCTGCACCGCGCGGCTGAGCCGAGGCGCCACGGACATACCCTCCATGCCTGTCACCCCCGACATTGCTCCCTCCCAGCGACGATTTCAAGCTACAACTACGATTTCCAGCGACCTAAACAACAACTTCCTCGGTGGTAATAATCTCTTCGTTCTGCCGCCCCGCAAACAATCAATCAATCAATCTCGCCGCTTCTTCTTCTGCGTCAATTTTCCCACACAGAAGCTGCTCTCGCAGCGATCGAGCTCGTGATCAGAATCGCCCAGTTCCTCGCTTTCTCTCTCTTGGGTAATTGCTGATAAAAATCCCACTATCAGAACACAAAATTGGATTCCTCCCCCGCTTCTTCTGATTCCCCGCAGCCCTCGAAGAGATCTCTCGTCCCCCTTTAGCCTTTTCGTATCCTTCATCTGGGTTTCCGCCTCGTTTGGGGGTTTGGATGAATTTCTATCTCCGTTCGTTGTCGTCGATGAATGAATGGTCCGTCGGAGTCGTATTTTATTCATCCATGGTGCCTCCAGTTTGTCTTTTTTGTTCTTTGTGGGTGTATCATTTGTGCTTGTTAGAAGTAAACTTGGGAAAGTTAAAAGAAACGTATGAAGTGATCCATTCTTCATACAAAATTGTTTGCTACAATAGTTGATCATAGGATTCAAAAATGGAGATGAATGTCCATACGTTACAATAAATTGGAGAATTTGTAGATTTCATTGTAAATATTTTAAATATCATCTTAAAGTAGATTTGATGTAAGATTTTTCTTTTTTTCCTTTCTTTTGGGAGTCAATTAAAAGAAAATGGATTTCTAACGTAAATTCAAATTTATTTTAATATTTTTTCACAAAAGGTGTTAAAACATTAAATGATAGTTTGAGATAAATTCTGTTTTGAGAATTTAAAAGCTTTGGGTTATAAACTATAAGGTTGAGTGATGATAGCAATATTTTCAAGTTTTGAAGAATTAGACTTCTTTTATAAATAAAAATAATAATTAAAAATAAAAATTTGTAACTTTTTCCAGAAATTTCTATACAATAAATAAACAACTAATATTAAGCGAACACAGGCCAAAATGTGATTTTTTCTTTGTTCATTGTTAGTATTCAATTAAAACAAAAATTTGAAAGTCTTAATCTTAGTGTCTTCAGTTTAAGATAAAGTGAAAATCTTTTATGATCAAAGACATGTTTTATAGGTAGATGGATATAGTTGTATTTTGCATATCTGTACAAAGGTTGCAAATAATATATATCTTAAAAAATATTACTTCTTTATTTTTTTAAAAAAAGAGAATCAAAATTTTAAAAATGGTTGCAATGTGATATTTTTGGTTTTTGTAAGTTTTAAAATAAAAAAAAAAAAAAAAAAAAAAAAAAAAAAAAAAAAGGCTGTTTTACTGCATGAATGATATGTATCTTCTGTGGATTTTTTAATGAAAGGTAAGTTGATTTGCATAAGTCTTCAACTGAGCAAAGAAGACATAAAGGTTAGGTTAGGTTTTGATAAATTTAGATTAAATTATTTATACTATCAATAAATGTTTTTCATATGTATATTAACATTAGTCTTAATAATACAAAACAGATATAACAACACAAATATAAATATATATATATATATATATATACACATACATATACACATATATCAAGAGCCCTTGGTACCTTTCAAAAGGTTGAAATAAAACTAAGACTCTTCTTACTAGTAAAACGTATTTCTTATTTTTGGTTTGGAATAGAAAGAGATGGAAAAGGACATCAATAGAGAAAGAAATCAACAGAATATGTGAATCAAATCTCAAAATGTAATTTATATTTGTGAAATGTTTTTTCATTACTAGGATACGATTTGTTATATTAGGAAAATTAATGCCAAAAAAAATCTAAAGTAAACCTAATTTTTTTTCTTTTCTCCAATATAAGTTTTGTATGAAATTTTTTCAAAGACTCCATGACAATATATATAATTTTTATTTTCTTGACATTGAAGTTAACCATTCCTACATTGGGCAACATTATATCAAACCATGTTTTGCAAATGCGAAATGATAAAAATAAGACAGAACAGAGCCACAAAAACTAAAAAAAATGAAAAAAAAAATGAAAAAAAAAAGGGGGCAGAAGAAGAAGAAGAAGAAGGAAAGCATTTGGTTGAAGAATCATATTCAAAGTTCATAAGAAATCCACTGACACTTGCTATCAAGATGGACGGAAAAGTGTGAAGAAAATTCACTCTATGTTTTCTAAAATTAGTGTAGAGAGAGGGGCAAAGAATTGTACTCCTCCTCTTCCAAAAGAATTATGAATTCTTCAAAACAAAACAAAAAAAATCCACATGGCAACTTAGCCACAATTCACAAATTCCTTGAAGCCAATCCACCAGATCATTTGCCTCATTTGACCCTCTAAATGGGACAGCATGAGTTGATCTCTACAGTATCTCCCAAGCATCTTGAAAGGATATCTTCACTTGAAGGAATGTCCCCATAACCAGGGTCTCCTCTGGAAACCAAGAACTCAGTGGACCCAACAAAGATTAACACAAGAGAAGCTACAAGGATAAGTAAAGGAGTACGAGAAAGCCATCTATTTGAGATGGCTGAATACAGTTTATTATCAAACAAAAAGTGTATGAAAGCATGATCTTGACCCAGATACACCAGGTCACCTTACTGTCTACACATATCCATCTATTTTCTTCAGTTACAGCTCCATCTTTCCAAAAGAAAAAAAAGAAAATAAAAAATAAAAATAGAGTCTAGTCTAGTCTACTGAACTAGTTCAACCAAACAAATATAAAGCATTTTACACAAAGTCCTCTGCAAAACTATGCTTCCTAGTCCTTGAAGAGTCTCATTACAGTGTAGTTTGAGCAGAAGGGGTCCTACATAAATCTACTAGACTGCTATAAGGACACCATCTGGGCAGGCATGAGTGATATTGCATCCCCTGCTGATGATGATCATGTCTAAGAAGGTTGCTTTGGCACATAGTTGCTTTACATACATACATGTACCATATGTTGACGTCAAAATGTTGAAACGGCCTCCCAATACCTTTTGATCCTCTTCATCTAGACATGATGCAGTAGAAAAACCCTGGGGCTTGCAGTAACCTGTACAGTCCAACCTGAACCTCCAAAGTCGTCATTACTTTTCCAATCTTTTCTCTATACAATACTCTACTGCTATATTCGGCACACGTAATGAATACAAATACAAAACTTCCGATGTAGCTGGATGTTGATCCACTGCTGGGCGCCACTTTGAGCAAGTAAAGAAACCCGCTCAATTCTTTCGCTAATGCTCGCCTCGCGCAGCAAGAGAACCTAACCTGCAGTGGAGCTCCCTGCCTTCTCTCTTTTCTCGGGGTGTATCGAACCATCCTGAGCTACTCGACTCAGTAAGGAGGAATTCTTGAAATGCCTGACTACATCGTGGCAATGCCTAGCCTCGTGGTGAATCAGGTTTCCATTATTTCCCCAACGAAGACCGGAAGAGTCCCTGGAAGCTGGGGAAATACTGAAATCAAGCTTTCTATCTACTTTGGATAACCATTTTGCCCTCATGTAGTCAAAAGTTCGCCAGGGCGGCAGATGCATATCATTCTGATCCAAAGACACTTTGGCAGCGTCCGACATGAGTTCCAAAACCTGCTCAAGATTGGCTATCGTGCCGACGAACACAATGGGGAGACTCTTCAGAGCTGCCTTGTATTGTGGGGTCGGCCTTGCGATCTCAAACTGCGTCTGAAAATTGATGTCCACGAGGAAATGGTCCACCAGTCGATCTCCTTCGAGAACAACGTCAATGTACTCGTACTCGCCCCCAGGCACATGGCCGGAGCTTGGCCACTGGGATTTACAAACCGAAGCACTGTATCCAGAGGCCTTCAAGTGCCTAACAATGAACCGCTTCATGCAGGTCTTTTTGCAATTGGTGCTATTGCTGTTACAGATTAGGTTGGTATCCTCATACAGTGTCAGCAGGAGACGCTTCACGTGAGCTAGAAGATCCCGTTCCCGTGTATTGTGTGGATTCGTCAACATCTGACACAACACGTGAATTAGATGAGAATGAATCTACCATCAGTAGCGACGAATTCCTCAATCCTTGAAGGCTTGTGTCACTGCACGGTTGGTTTTCTCCCGCACGAAACCTACAGACATGCAAGTAGGGCCATCCTCGATACTAGTGCAGCGCTTCCTATCATCACCAAATCCTCTACGTGCAAGTCTGTTTCACATCCACTCCAAGTGTGGCAAGTCTAAGATCGGGAACCAAGGGTTAAAGCTATACCTGCAGGTTTTCACTAAGAGTTAATTCAAGAGAGTCACCATCGCCATCAGCTCCATCCATGTGTTCCACGCAATCGTTCTCAATGAAATCATGCACCATGGCTTGCAAATCCTCGCCCTCGTAGCTGGTATCCGGCAAGACGACAGGGGAGGTCCAACGTTTCTCAGTAACTGAGAAATTGATCTTTGAATCTATCTTGCTCTGCTGAAACCACTGAGGAGTACGACGCACCTCCGAGGGCTGATTAAGAGTGTGAGGCACATTCCTAGACCTCAACATTTCCCATTCCCGCGAGATTCCCCCAGTGTGACGGGAAAGCATGTTACCGCCACTGAGGTTGAGCGAGTTCGAGAAAGGACTCATGATGAACTCGTATCGCAGTCCAGGCATCCTGCTATTTGAATGAGCCAGCGATGTCTCTTCAATCCTCACCCCCTTCTTCTTGTCAAGCAACAACTCCTCCAAATCTAATTAATCGCTCGATCCAACCTCTTTTCATCATCAGCACCGCGCTTCGCATTCCAACCAACCCCGCTCCACAACATCCACATCGTCCTTCCTACTAGTCCAACTCGTTCCTCATCTATCTAAAATTCAAGCCACGAAACACTACCACACACACGTCTCACTCATTCACTCATTCACTCATTCACCAACACTTCCACAACCAACTACAACTCTAAATGGAGGTTTGCCTTGCAAGGGAGACGGAAGAAAGGAGAGGAGAATGGAAACGTGGCAAACCGTAACAACTCGGTAGGTCATGAGGTACCGAGCTCACTGGCCACTCAACATCCACTGCCAAATCGCTCCACAATCCGACCTCGAATTACAGACTCGATCACCTCGTCCCCGGAACTCCCACTCAGAGGAAAACAAACAAACAAGATCGAGCAACCGGAAACTGAGTTATGGACTCCGCGAGAAGCCAGGGATTGCAGTAGTCATTGTGCCATTGAGGTGGAACTGGTACGCTCCATCGTCGACATGGCCATGGTGGGACACAATCTTCGTCTTCGTCGGGACTGAACTACTAAACCTCTACAACGAAGAATCGATCTCTGCCTGATTCTGCCACAACAGCTCGGAAAGCTCACGAAGCAGAAAGACAAACATATACTACTACTGGCACCGGACACATTGAAACCCGCGCCCCCGGCCCCGGCCTCCGCTCGGTCCCACGTACGTATTTTCTACCCCCGTACGAATACGATGATGAGTGTAGTTTGTACATGTGTACGTTTGTACCCCTCATGTCAAATGTGTTATGGGTAATGTATCTGCAGTGTGGGTTTCATGGGTTTAGGGTTTAGGTTGTCGTTCCAAAGTGTCGACCACTCAACACTTTGGAACGACAACCTTAATCTAATATGGTTTTTGATAATAAATAAATAGATAAATAATCAAAAGAGACATCCATTTGCTTTGTAGAAATTTCAAAGATTTCTTGAATTTTCAAAAGTATCTGAGTGAAAATTTTCTCAAATTTATTGTTTTTATTATAAATCTTTACTATTGTTTTCTTGATTAGATACCCATATTAAATTAGGATATCAAAAATATTTTATTCATTTCAAAATATCATACAGTTTACTGTTTTAGTAAATTGATTCTAAAATAACATGAAAAAGCATTTACAAATTGTGTGTGTGTGTATATATATATATATATATATATGAATATACCATTGTTAAAAAAAATATTATTACAATATAAAATAAAATAAAATGAGAATGACTTGAACAACTGGCACATATGTTAATGTATTTACAAGTTCAATTATAAAAATGATTTTCTAAATGCAATTGAATATATAGATTATTATTCTTAATATCAGCTATTCATTCAGTTAGTTTTTTTTGTTATACTTAGTGGAAAGTACAGGGTCAATACTAAGAATATCAACCAATTAAATTAGATCAAAGCATGAGATTGTGCTATAGAAATACTCTATGAAAATCGTTTTATACAAAGCTATTGAAAAATTACATAGATCACAAAATAAAAAATTACTTTAGATATTGTAAAAATAAAATAACAAGTAGGAACATAACATGGTACTCAATAATCTGTATAAAATTTATGTATTGTGATAGTTATTAACATTGTGTGTATGTGTGTGTGTGTGTGTGTATATATATATATATATATATATATATTGCTAGTACACAATACATCAATATATATATATATATATATACTTGCAAGATAGTCATGTTTATGCAAATATGACATGAATTATTTTTCTGAAAATGGATTTTATTTTTAAAGAAATAAAAAAAATCGTTTAGCATCAGTAAGAATTGATTCTTTTGTTATAATATTAGCATTGTACTTGGACTTGCCGATACTATGTTCTTCTATGACTTCACTGGAATATTATCATTCCCGTATCTGTGTAAAAGATTCCAAGCAATCCTCTATAACTATAAATACATGTGAGAATTACCCAGAGAATAATAATACATACTACTTTAAGAATCCAAAAAGTGGAAGTCATTCCTACACAATTGTCACATACGTGTTACATAAATAGTATACATAATAGAATACAGTATAGTTGTTGTTGTAGGAGAAAGAGCTGAGTTGGCATCTACAGCGCCAGGTGGTTTGATGGTGGGTTCCTCCACTACGTTCACGCCACGTGTCAATGTGGGCGGAGAATCCATGGGGTGATTGGCTTTATGCTCTCATATCCAGTGTTGGGTTTCTGATAAGCCAAATTCCGGCTATCAGGAAAAATGAAAAAGAAAAAGAAAACTACTTTAGATCGTTTTGAAGTATATATATATATATATATATATATGCCACGTTGGATAGAAACCATGACGTGGACAAGCTAATAGGCAATCTTGTGTTTTGGGGTTTCTCAGTGTGCTCATGTTTTGATTATTGGTTTTGTATTGCACGGTCAAGAGACCTTGAGATTCAACTAATACTAATCCATTTGGTTTGCAAAAATAAACTCTTGATTTTGAGTGTTGAAATGGCATTATTGTGCCCTATTTTGGGAGAATGTATTTTTTGGGTGGGTTGACATGAATAGTATTGAAAATGTGATGGGATTTATTTACTTTATTTTCATAAAGAGCCTTGATAACAGAGTACAAAAAACGTGAACTTCAAGCAGTATAGAGCTTAACATTCATGTCAAAAAACTTAACTTCAAGCTTAACTTCAAGCACACACTAAGAATTAATTCATGTCATTTTTTTTTTCGATTTAATTATTTATTGTGATTTTAATTCTAAAGACATTTGTGAAATATATATATATATATATATATATATATATTTAAAAGGGGGGTGGAGCCAGGTGACGGTGTGAGCAGAGGCCTGGGCAAGTAGGAGGAGTTGGCAGAGCTCATTTTCCGGGCAGCAAAAGTCACAACAACAAGGGCAGGGCAGAATGAGAACACGGTTCCCGAGGCTTTTGAACGATGGTTCCCCCTCGCGCTCCCGACGCTCGTGAGCTTATCCCTCCCCAGCCCCCTGCTGTGACTGGGCAAGTGCCAGCTCAGCCTCAGCCGGAAGGACCCTCCCTCATCCTTCGCCGCCATTGGCTCATTCAATCGCCACCCACGTGGGCGAAGTCCTCGTCAGCCAATGCCGCGGGATGTCTCACATGGCCCGGCCCGGCCCTTCCTCTTCACCCCATGGGGATGGGTCAATGGAAAGAGCCTTAACCTGGTATTTAATTAATTAATTAATTAATTATATGTTTAATATTTGTGGCTCATGTGTAGAAGCGGTTATTTTTGTTATTTGGGAATGAGTTTTTTTTAATTTTAATTTTTTTTATTTTTATATGTGGTTTTATTTGGAGGGGTGGGGGTGGAGATGCAAGTGGGTGGGTTTTTCGAAGCACTTTGTGGATAGGATTTTGAGTACATATTAAGTTAGTGGGAGTTTTGGGTATGTGTGATGATGGGTGGCCATTTGTGTGAGGAGGAGGGTATTGGCAAACCCTAGTTGGCACCCTCATCGTTGCCTCATTGGAGTGATTTTCTCTTATTTTCTTTTAGGGTTTTGCTTGACCTTTGAAAATGAATATGAAAGGGGGGGGAGGGGGGGTTATTCCATTTTTCATTCTATGTATACATTCCACTCTCTTTCCATACACTTGTTATTACCCAATGAAGTGTACGCTTTAGAAGAGGAGTGAAAGATAAAATATTGTTGTCATGTTCCTACTTCTTGTTCAACACAAATAAATAAATAAATAAATAGATAAAAATGCTATTACATCTTGCATGTATCAAAACTTGACAAATCTCTTTTGAGTAAAAAGTAATACATTTTCTTAATTTTGCAGAAATTAAATATAAGTGCAATAGAATGATCCTGAAGATGGGAAAGAAATTATTGAAATGCATCAAAAGTCATTGAAGCTTAATAATATTAAAGTTGTGAAAAAGAAACAAAAATGAGATATGACAAAAAGAAAAAGAATAATACTCTTATTAGTGTCTGTAAAGTTTATGTGAAAGAATAATACTCTTGTGTTAGTAATAAGCATTTATTTATTTGATTCTGTAAAATATGTTTAATATTATAAGACATAGTTCCAATTTGCTACTTTAAAATCTTTATAATTGAAATTCTGTACAAATTCTATCATGAGTTAATAAATACATAAATAATAATCTCAAAATCATAAACTGTTTGTGTGGGTGAAGTATACACTTACTTTTGTTGAAATTACAATAGCTTACAAGATTAAAATAATTTGAGAGCTAACAACACCAGGTTAAATTCTAATTAATCTACATAATGGATGATTATAAATTTCTTGTGTACAATGTATCATCCTACACAAGAACAAAAAAAATGATTCTTTTTTGAACTAACATGCTTCTAAATGTAATTACTATGTCAAGATATACATATCACGGAACTTTAATCCCAACAAAAGCAAATGTGATCCATTGTGGCTTTTGTGTTGTAGCTTTGAGTAAACATAAAATAACGTTTTTTTCCATAAAAATTTTCAACAAAATATTGCACATGTTGCACATCACTCCAATATTGTACTTTTTTTTTGGGTGTCAAAGGTATTTTTTTTACCTTTTTATTTTTAGAAGAGATGCATGATGTTTGACTTTGAGGATAAAAAATTTGAGAAATATGTGGATCTTTTCTATATTTAGAAAGTTTATTGAAAAAATAGAAAGAACATGAATGGATAGATATTCCATAAAGGTGACAACACTATGGAGGAAGCCATGAATTTGGGTGCAAGAATGAAGAAAGTATATATATATATATATATATATATTTGTGTTAGTATTTAATTTATGAAGGATTAGAAGGAGAATGTGTGCCAAAAGAGAGACACATCTATCTTGGCTTTGGTGGACTTATGAAACTATAATACTCTAAGTATAGAATCTAAAGCATCATTTTCATTATTTTTTAATTTTAGTTTTTAGTTTTTAGTTTTGGTTTTTGTTTATATTTCTCCTTGGACATAGTGGGATGAAGGTCCTTTCATTTCCTTTTTCACATTCAAGGTCATGAGAAGCAAAAGCAGTGACTTCCCAACACAAGACATGAATAGTAAGAAAAAAGAAGAGATGAGAACCTATTTTAGTTTTGATAATTTTGTGGAATATGTTTTTATAAAACAAATGAATAAATTACAAAACATGTAGAATAAAAGAATAAAAGAAAATAATTAGAGTATAAAACATGAGAAAAGAGGGGAATCACATAAATTCATGTGTCATCTAAACAGAAAAAAAACATTTGTAACTAAAAGGAAAGTTAAGATCCAACGGTAAGTTACAAATTTCCATCTCTTATATACATACAAAACACTTACCTCTACCACCTTTTAAAACCATTTTTAAAAATTGTTATTTAATTTGCTCATGTCATTGGCCCAACTACAGATCTTTTCAAAAGCAACACATCAAGTCAAATTTCCATATTTTAATTGGTTGGAAAGGTAAACAAACTGTCAAATTAAGCTTTATCCAATTTAAGAAAATGTTAAGAATTCAGTGTAGAAAAATTCTTTATTTTCACCAATTTTTCATTAGTCGAAAGGTCTTTTTGTGTCACTTACTATTCACTTTCTTACCATTAAAATTTGTTGGCTGCTAGAAATCTGCATAATGTCAAAATGTTAAGATAATTTACACTGTGGCACGTGTGACAAAGCAGTTATTGATGCTGTCCATATTGTTAAAAATTCAAATAATTTGAGGAGGGCTTGGACTGCATACTGGACTTTGTTAGCTACTTTGGAGTGAGCACATTCATTAAATTGATACTGTTGGTCTCAACTTGAGGTACAAATGATTATCCCCAATAATTCAATGAAATTTGTTTCTGCATTTAGGGTGCAGCATAACAACTTTTAGTCTCAAGACAGCTGCTGACAAAGCCCTGCCTGGTGCCTGGAGAGCACGGCTATACACCTGAATCAACTCAAAGTTATATAAGCATTCACAGGGCATCGAAAATGAGCATTTACCCAATACGGAATCAAAACAAGCTATGAATAACTCATAGCGGTAATATGAAGATCAACAAGCCTTGAATGGAAAAGGAGTGTGCACATGTGAGAGGTTGACCTGAACAAGACGAGGCCCACACCTTTTGACAACAATACTACACCATCCGGGTGATCCTCCACTGGTGATGCAAAACCCTGTCCTACCACCAAGCATCTACATCCACACCCTCGATAAGCTCCAAGGCCTTTACGAATAAGTGATGACTCCCAAAGAGTTGCCCTCCATCATCGTCAAAGTAGCGTCAACTGCCGACCTCTCAAAAAGCTGTCAACAAACTGTATTAACAAGTAATTTGAGAACAGCAAAACTGTATATTCTAAATTCATACTTTCGACATAAAAACCAGCATATTAATTTTTGGTTTTCAACAATAAAAAGAAGGAAATTATTTTGGAATAGGAACCATTTAAGCTCGACCGGATCCTTGCTCTAATTTGCTCAACAAACGTTAGAGGGTAGTGCTAACCCCCTCCCAGCTCTCCATGCCTCTGGCACACACAAGTTGATCCTCATATTTTATATGAAACCCTCATCCATAACATACCTCTCCGCACTGTATATCCAGCTCAAGGATTGGACGGAGTATAGTTTCAGAGAAGAAAACCAAATTCACTGATGGGATTCCGCACATGGTTAGCGTAAATTCAAACTCGTTCGCACACTCACCGATTACTGTACAGGAGCAGACACACTTTGATATCACCTCAGCTCAGCTCAGCGTCCAACTGTTGGCCTTCGAGCAAGCTCTCTAACTGAATTGTGGCGAGTATCCACCGTGGACTTATTGATTCTTCTGCGATAGAATCACGATAACTGGAAGCAACAAATTCTCCCAGTGTTGATGATAATAATAGATCGTCTTGAAGAATCTTCAGTGCTTGTCCTTCACAATGAATGAGTTCCACACCAACCATGCTAGACAATTTGACAAGTGCAAGTCATCCAAGCTGCCGATTTTCTAATTCAATCTCACGTCTTAATCCATCCTGCATAGATCCATGCACGTGGTTAATATTACGTCCAGACAACATACGTCAGTTTTGTTCTATTCCGCATAACTACCTGACAGGAATGCGATTGTTCGCAACAGAGCATATACGCCCATAACATAACCTTTTCGTATTGTTAACTTCAGGTATCAGCACACCAGCTCACGATGCGTCCTAATAATAAATTCCAAAGAATAAAAAGAAAAACGAAAAAAAGACAATAAGGGTGCAGAACTCGAATTCCACAGAAGATTGATTTTGATTAAGAATATTACCGATCAATGGATTGACTGTCCGAACGTCTTATTCTGCATCACTGGTTGTCACAAAACAGCTATAAAGAAACTGAGTAAATACCGACCCCTACCTGAGCAATGTTATCTTGTCCGGAATCTGTATGAAGCAGGTAGTTATTCAGGAGATGAAATTCGGGCAGCATCGACACAACCCCCACTGCATTCCGGCCCTGAGAGACGGACCTTGGCTTTCGTATTCTGAGATTTCTCGAAAAGCTTTCCGAATTCTTCAAAGTCCGATTCCATTCTCCGCAGGCTACCAACAACGGGACAGAAGAGTATCGTTCCTGGCATGAAACTGAAGTTTTGTTGATTATACTTCGTCTTACTTTGAGGCAGCTTGCACTGCCACGCTGCGACCGAATTTCTCCCCTTCTTCACTACAATCGGAGCGACAAATTGCATATCACACACAATATTCTACAAGGATTCAAACCTCGATAGATACGAAAGCTTTGAGAGTCGACAGGTCCTCAAACCCTAATCCTAAAAACACAGAAATGACTCCTCGAAAAAGTATTTCTCCTCTATTCTCGTCTCCAATTATGCTCATTATGGATGAAAATATGGTTTTTGAAACACAAGAGCTAGACGTGAATTTTGATATCGGTTGATCTTGTATTAAATTGGACGTTGAAAGTAGCATCATAATAGTTTTGTTTATTATTTATTTGTTAAAGTTCTTTCAAAAAAAGAAAAAAAAAACAAACAAACAAACAAAACAAAAGTGTAAGTATTGTCTTGTAGATTTTATATTTATTTTACAGCATATTTTAAATCAAATCAACTTAGAAGAAATTTATATTCATTTTAATAGCATCAATTGTATTTACTTTTGAATGTCAAATAAAATATTGAGTTATTTTTTAGTTATTTTATTATATATATATATATATATATATATATTAGGATGAAACTTGTATTATTGAACACTACAATATTTGGCACATCTATCCATGCTCCTTGGTTTCTATATTCCCTAGTTCACTTGTTTCCATGTTTTTTGATTCCCATGTTCCCTTATTTCATATGTTCTCCATGTTCCATTAGTTTCTTTCTTCATAGTCTATTAAAAGACTTCTTTGCCTCTTTATGTTATATCCAAGATGTCTTATATAATTAATTTTAATATATATATATATATATATATATATATATATGTGTGTGTGTGTGTATATATATATATATTGAAATTAAAGAGATTTATATATGTATAACACAATTTCATGTTAGAAGACAATTTCTAATTTGAATACGCATCTTTGCTACTACTAAAGCTAATGCTATTAAAGATATATCTTGCTTAATTTATAACCTTGGTAGATGGAAATTTTATAAATTATGTAAGGTTTTATAATTTATGTGGAGTCATGAAATTTCATAGTTTTCAAGAGATCTAAGCAATAAAAGAGCATATGAACAATTAATGGTAAATAAGACATGTATTGTAGTAGCAATAGATTTTTTTATTTGTCTCATTTTACTTCTTTCTTGTCATGATTGCTAATACATGTGAAAGTACTAAAAGAAATAAAGTAATATTGCATGCATGTGTTTCTTATTTGTTGAGTTAGAATAAAGTTTTATTAAAAGGAAGAAAGGACAAGAAGATATATTTGTGATAATAGTGAAAAAAAGAACAAAGAGCTAGTAGCAATGTGGAACCATTTTTATGTGGTAACAATGTGCATAATAATTACACTTCAATAAGTATGAACCATGACTACCTCATCATTATTTCATACCTTGAGTTTTTCTTTTGATTGTTGTATTATAATAAACACATATAATTAAATAAGAATTTGAAGCTTATTTGCTTGAAAGTCATAATAATGACAACAATGAGCTTGAATCTCCTTAAAAAATAAGTTCTTTAATAGAGTATCCCTCCATAACAATTGGCCAGAAGCATAAAGAAGTATCCAAAGCTGCAACAAGTAATGATTAGAGTAAAATAATAGAATTGCATTTGAAGAAGTTTAAGGTTTGAATTGTTAGACCTTATTATTTTTTAGTTTCATAATTATGTATACAAAACTACCAATAATAAAAAATTAAAAATAATGGATAATTAATAATAATGTACAATTATTTTTTTTCTTAATCTTTATTATACCAAAATTTAACAAACACTCAATGCCTTTAAATCTGTAATAAAAATAAAACAAATAAAATTTTGTGCATGAGTCAATTATCTCTTGTAAAGTTGGAAAAGGATGATTTTGCTCACATAAAAGCTCTCTCATAATCAACAACTTCAAACATCTTATTATATCATAGATAATAAAAGAAAATAAGTACTTGAGAGCTAATTAGTTGCTGCAAACATGTACCACACTTTTTAACAATAGACATTGAATTTGCAAATTGGATCTACTATTGTGAAGATAAATGAATTAAAATTAATATAACCTTTAAATAAAATAAAAATAGAAACTTTGCAAAATTTTTAAGTGTCATAGATATAAATATTTATTTTAATATTTATCCATATGATTAAGTAGAAATATGCAAAAGTAGATTTATTTCATAATATTTTCTAGAAAAGCTTTATAGATGCTATTTTGACTTTACATGTATTTGTAGTTAATTGGTAGATTAGAAATTTGGTCAAAAAATTAATCATGTATTGATAGCTTGGAGAATAAGGTAACTATGTGCTATACATATAGAAAACTTACTTTGCAAGTTAAGATACATGTCTTATAAAGTCAACACGTTTTGGAGGTCTTATAAGACATCACTACATAGCTTCCAATTAAGAGTATATATGGAGGCAAGAGTGAACTTTTCTTCATTCTTGTCAATACCTTTCTAGTCTTTAGTCTTATTTCAAGACTTTTTAATCTTATCTTCTTGTTTTTTGCAATAGCCATTCTAGTTTAATATTATATCACCTTTGAGTGAATTTTTAGTCTTTTCAAGTGATACAAGAGTATATTGATATTTAAGTTCTTTGAGGTTTATCTCCTTAAGAGTTTGACAAGAACCCTAATTCATTATTCTTATCTTATTTTAAAAGTGAGTGGATTATCTTACTTCTATTGTTGTGTTTTAAAGGTTACGGATTACCTATTTTTAAATAAATTTTTTAATTTTCTAATACTAATTTTTTTCTTAAAGAGAGTAAATTACTCTTCTTTGTGAAAATTTTCATTTGACATTAGAGATTACGGATTTCTCTCTTCTAATTTGACTTGTGAATTTTTTAAGTTGTTTGAAATAGAAGAAAAAATCATAAATGCTTTACTTGGCAAAAGTGAGAATAGATTTGTAACTATTGTAAATCTTCACAAACTTGTCAATACTCTTAGGATAGAAATTTCATGTATCACTAACATCAATTAAGCAAATACTAATCCTATGCATATAGAAGAAGTTGAAGTTTATATTAAAAAGTTGTGCAGTTGAAGGAAGCAAGTAGATTCACATCACAACCAAATCTAAGAAGTTTTACTTCTAAAAGTACAATAAGGACAAAGATTAGTATGCCCAAGAAGTTTGATAGAAGAAGATCAAAATTTTGAGGATTTTTGCAACAAGTTAAGCTTTATCTAAGGTTGTATCACTTCCAATACACTGATAGATTTAGTCAAGTTGGATTCATAGGCACACTTTTATCTAGAAGTATCCTTTTTTGATTTGCACCTTTGTTGGAAAAAGATTTACAACTCTTTTATTATTTGAATTCATTGCTAGAAGTGTTTATGGCCACATTTGAAGAAAGTAATCAAGATAAAGTAATAAAAACCAAACTCTTATTTTTACAAGAAGGATCATGATCAATCACCATATATATATTACTGAACTCTAAAACCTTGCACGCGATGTAGACTAAAATGATAAAGCCCTTATCAGTCAATTTCAATATGGATTAAAGAAAAATGTCAAAGATTTATTATTGATAATACCAAAAGCAAATGTTTTGGAATAATTTATTCCTCAAGACATTGTATGTAACAATCATCTATTTAAAAGGCATTAAAAAGAAAGATTTGGCTAAAGAAGAATAAGTCAAGTAATGATGGTAGTTCATAAGTTTTCAAAAACTTATTCATCAAGATTAAAACCAATACAAATTGATATGGTATATTTTAAACTTTTTACTAAGTAAGAAAAAATTTGTCATCATCAAGAGGGTTTTTACCTATATTATAAAAAATCCAAATACACTACTCAACATTGTTCAAAAAAATAACTGTGAATTCTTAATTATGCTCTAAAATTTATTTTTTTTGTTATTTCTTTATATTATAATAATTGAGCATATTAGATTAGAATTTATATAAGTAGAATTTAGATTTTTAGAATTTTTAGGATTGCAACCTTTGATGGTATAAATCATAGCCTAATTCCCTGAGTTGGATTAATTAGGACCAAAGTGATAATAGTTAAAAAATTAAAATAGCAACTTAGTTAGTTTTAATAATTTAGAGGTTGTTAGTTATTACTGTGAAGGCTGACTAAAAGCCTATGAGTTTATATACAATTATTTCATATGATTTACAGTGAGTTATAATTATAGTTTTCTAAAAGATCTAGTGAAGTTTAGGAATGACAGTTTTGAGATTTCCTCCAAATTCAACAAATTCAAGTAACATAGTTATTTTTTTAATTAATGCAAGCCTTTTTAATGCAATGGTGGCATCAAATTCAATCCATGGAGTGAAGAAAAAAAGATCAGCACCTTCTCCTTCAAAATATAAGTGGAGCAATGAAATTCTCATTTTGAAGAATTTTACAAGAATTGCTAAGAGCCTTGTAAGTAAAAACTTTCATAAAAATTGCAATTGAGCATGGATTGAAGTATGTAAGTAGTCAATTTTAGCAAAAAAAGGTATTTTAAAGACAATTATGAAGTTAGATTCATTAGAAAGTGCTTTCTTGACTACTTACAAGAACCATCAGCCTTGATAACGAAGTTGGCTTTTGGATGAATGAAGGTTGTAGATTTACATTAGGAATCTTAGAGATCAAGGATGGAGATGTGGCCGCCCTCCCACAAGCCACCACTCAATTGTATAAGAGCAGCTTGGTTCTCTAAGCCTCCTCTCTTTCTTCTTTTGGTGAAAGGCAAAGCCATGCCAAATTTTGGTCCTAAGCCATAATTTTAATTTTGTTTTTGATTTTTAATCTCATTGTGAACTTATGGTCGTATATGCATGGATCTTGAGTAGTGAATGATGGTGATTGGATTTTAAGATATAAGTCATTGTCGTAGATAGCTCCCTCGGCCTTTCAAATACCTCAAGGATTCAAGAGCCTTAGATTCCCCTCAATCAGTCATTCACTTTTTTGAGTTTTAATGTGATTTTGAGTTCACGTAGATTGGCTACCTTGGCAGTTTAGATCACTCTCATTTGAAAAGGTATTTCTCAATGCTTTTTAATTAAATTATTGTAAAATTTTGGAAATAAGTGTATCTTCAAGCTAACCTTTTAATGGCATAAGTTTTACTGAATTTGAAGACAAATTGAATATTTGGTTAGTTTTCAAGTGGAAGAAGGTTGCTTACTGTGGTAGTCTTA